GCGTCACGTGGTGAGGGCGGCCGCCGGGCCGGGTCCGCGGGCTGTGGAGTCTTGGCGTGATTAGGAGTTCTGTAGGGTCCCATCGGACATTTCCCTCAGACCTTATTCCCCCAAACCATCACTGACTCATCTTTTGGATGCCTTTCACGCCAATTCAAACTTGGCTTCCGGAAGTCCCTTATTTCAGGAGATCCCTTTCAGCCGGGAAATAGGGTTCTCAAGCATCTTTGGGGGAGTCCTTCGTCGTCCCCATGAGCCGAGGCTCGTGCTTTTATGTTTTAATTTTGTGATGCCGAGGGTGGAACCCAGTGCCCGCACGCTAGGCAAGCTCTCTGCCACAGAGCCCCGTCATCGAGGACTGAGCTACATCCCCAGCCCTTTTAATTTTTTTAAGACAGTGTTTTGCTAAATTGCCCAGATTGGCCTTTAAATTGCGATCCTCCTGCCACAGCCTCAGTAGCTGGGATTACAGGTGTGCTGCACCGCGCCAGCTTTAGATTCCCTAAGGGCAGTGTCCCCCGGGAGGCAGCTCTGTAACCTTAGTCTTTCTGTGGGGATCCTGTCCGGCCACCCTCTTCTTTTCCTACGGTAACCGCATCATCTCATCTCCTGAGTTCTGCTCTTTGGGCTTCGCTGGAGTCCCAAAGAAAGCGCATTTTCTGTAGTGCGTCCCGCGTGGCCCCGACCCTGAGGAGGAAGGCCCGACCACCCGCTCCTTGGGCACACAGGGTTTGGAGACCCAGAGTGGTCCGGATGTCACGTGACCGCTGCTGCCCGGAGTTGTGAGGGGGATCCCGGGAGTCTGGGGTGGTAGGGTCCCCCAAACTTATACCGCAGAAAAGAGGAGCCCTTACTCTTGCAGGTGGGGGGATAGTGGACCAAGTATTCTCGGTGCAAGGGTCTGCAGGGGCAGGGAAAGAGAGGTGCGCAAAAGAGTCGCCCTCTTCTGAAAACTTGAGTTATGGCTGCATTTAGGGTTGAGGTGATGAAATGACGCTGGCGAACTGGCTGCAGTCCGAAGGCAGGTCGGCGCTAGCGAGAGGCTTCATCCTGAGTCACATTTAGGGTAAAAAGTCCTACGGCCGTGGGTAGTTTAGAGGTAGAGAGGAACAAGGTGTAGTGAGTGATAAGCACATAGCTCCCCCGGGGACAGTTCTCTGCCTTGTTCTACACTTCCAGTGCTGCAAACAGCAGCCACCAAAAAAACACAGTAGTCCAGGTACAGTACTTCTTTAAGCTAATGCCTTAAAAAGTCGCCCGGCCTCCGGAGGCCCTTAAAAAGCACTTCTGCGCAGGCGCCCCCGCTCAGCTTCTTTCCTAGAGGGTGCCAAAGAGCGCAGGGGGTCCCCATCTTCAGCCAATCAGAGACCATTAGTAGTCCTACCATCCGACAAGAAGGTACCCTTTCTACGCTCCATTGACCAGTTGGCTGGTGACGCAGAAGATGGGCATCTGCAGTAACCACTGCAGAGAGACAAAGGGGAAAGCCTTCCTTGTCTCCCGGCAGAGTGGCGCGGGAAGGTAATCCTTGTGACTGGGGCACTAAAGACTTTCAATTTGACAGAGCTGCGATCAAGCCAATGAAAGTGAGGAGGAGGTAGGGCTTCTCGGGAGGAGGTGCTCCTGGGGAGGCTGGCCATGCCAGGAATCTGACCTATCAAATTGGAGCTTATTTTAAGGCGGCGGGATTGCCGAAGTGATTGACAGACTGTGTCTGCCTATCAGGAGTGTTTTAGACAAATGAGGGCGGGATCTCCTACAGAGCGGCGTGGACAGCATCCAACAGGCGCGCAAGACGTGCGGAGGCTTCCCCTCCCCCCGCGGCGGGGCCGATGGCTCCCCCTATCGGGTGGGGGCGGCGGGTGACGGGCGTGTCCCTCCCCCAATGAGAGGCGGGGGGAGGCGGG